AATCTCCAGCGTTCCACTTAAAGGGCCCATGGATGGTCTCACTCGCTCTGAGCTCCATCCAGTGTTAGGGCAATAGCTTGAAATATGCCAGGGGCATATGGGGAGGAACTGAATTGTCTGACTTTGGGACAAGAGCTTGAAAGGCAGCTTTCTTACCGACAAAAGTGCTGGCAGAGCCATTTTTTGTTTGTTTTTTCTGAGCCTGCCCTGCGGATTCCCTTAGACCACACCCCACCCAACTTTCCTATCCACCTAAGCTGGTTCTACCGAGTAGCTTTTCCATACAAGCAGCCTGTCTTCTTGGCTCATGCTGGGGACTTTACAAAATGAGGAGACAAAGAACCATATCCCAGATAAAAGAGCAGAACAAAACTCCAAAAAAAATACTAAACAAAATGGAGATAAGTAATCTACCAGATGCAGTGTTCAAGACATTAATTATAAGGATGCTCAGTGAACTCAATGAAAACTTCAACAAAGAAATAAGAAACATCTGAAACCGGTTTGGCTCATTGGATAGAGCGTGAGCCTGAAGACTGAAAGATCCCTGGTTGATTCCGGTCAAGGGCATGTACCTTGGTTATGGGCACATCCCCAGTAGGGGGTGTGCAAGAGGCAGCTGATCCATGTTTCTCTCTCATTGATGTTTAACTCTATCTCTCTCCTTACCTCTCTGTAAAAAAAATCGATAAAATATATTTAAAAGAAATAAGAAACATAAAAAAGAACCAGTCAGAAATTAAGAATATAGTAACTGAAGAATACAGTAGAGGGAACCAACAGTGATTAAAAGGTAAGGTAACAGCCCAGCTGGGTTGAACCAGGAACTTACTGTTCAATTCTGAATCAGGATATATGCCTGGGTTGCAGGCTCAGTCCCCAGTGGGGGGTGTTCAGGAGGCAGCCAGTCAATGATTCTCTCTCTTCCTCTCCATTCCTCTCTAAAATCAATAAAATATATCTATATCTATCTATATGTCTATATCTATATGTAAAGAGATATATAGATATATATATTTAAAAGGTAAGATAGCAGAAAATACCCAATAAGAACAGTAAACAGAAAAATAATTTAAAACAGGATAGTTTAAGGGGCCTTTGGAACAACACCAAGCATTCTAACATTTGCTGAGAGAAAGCAAGGAATTGAAAACTTATTCGCAGAAATGACAGGAAGTTTTCCTAATCTGACAAAGGAAATAGACATATAAGCCCAGAGAGTCCCAAACAAGATGAACTCAAAGAAGCCTATACCAAGACACATAATTAAAATGCCAAAGGTTAAATACAATACAATACAAAGAGAATTTTGAAAGCAACCAGTGAAAGGCAGTTATCTGCAAGGAATCTCCCATAGACTGTCAGTCTATTTCTCAACAGAAACTTTAAGATCAGAAGGGATTGGCCTGAAATATTCAAAATAATGAAAAGCAAGGATTTAAAAACAAGATAATGATACCTAGCAAAGCTATCATTTATGTCAAAGGACAGAGAAAAACCTTTCCGAACAAGAAAAAGCTAAAGTTCATCACCACCAAACCAATATTACAAGAAATTTAAAAGGGATTTCTTTAAGAAGAAGAAAAAAATAAAAAGGTAAAAAATATGAATAATAAAATGGCAATAACTACATATCTATCAGCATTGCTTTAAACGTAAATGGATTAAATGTTCCCATCATAAGACATTGAATGGCTGAATGGATAAGAAAATAAGACCCTTGTCTGAGCTGGGTGCTCATTTAGGTGGAGCATCATCCCCACACCAAAAGGTTGTGGGTTTGATTCCCAGTCAGGGCACATACCGAGGTTGTGGGTTCCATCTCTGCTTGGAACACTGATTGCAGGAGATAACCAGTTGATATTTTGTTCACATCGATTTTCTCTGTATCTATCTAGCTATCTAGCTATCATCTATCTATTTCTAAAAAAAAAAAAAAAAAAAGGCAGCCAAAACCGGTTTGGGTCAATGGATAGAGCGTCCGTCTGCGGACTGAAAGGTCCCAGGTTTGATTCCCGTCAAAGGCATATATCTTGGTTGCGGGCACATCCCTGGTAGGGAGTGTGGAGGAGGCAGCTGGTCGATGTTTCTCTCTCATCAACGTTTCTAGCTCTCTATCCCTCTCCCTCTCTCTCTGTGGAAAATCAATAAAATATATAAAAACAAACAAACAAACAAAGGCACAAAAAGAAAGAAAAGACCCTTACATATGCTGCCTACAAGAGATACTTTATTGAAAGATACATCTAAGGCTCACTTTTCTCATTTCTATAATGGTGAGAATTACATAACACCTGGCTTGCATGGTTGTTAGAAAAGTAGAGAGTGCAGTAAAAATAGAATATGTAAAAAGCCAGCACATGGCTTAAAGTGGGCGCTGAATAAATTACTCCTGCGGCTGTAATTATCCCTGTATTTCCCCTTGGTATTAGTCTGTTTTCTTTCAGTATTTACAAGAGTTGTGGGAGGGGGTTAAGGTTTATAAGAACACACTGGATGTTCCAGTAAGTTATATTCAAACAGTGTACTTTCACTATAGTTTTTATTTTTATATAACTGATTTCTTTAGTCTTCTCTTTAAAAATAAAAAATAAAGTCATTGAACACCAGGCAATATAAAGTGTTATGTGTGCTTATTTTAATATTTAGACATTAATTTGAAAAGACAGAGCAGGACACACTCATTTAGAAGTCTAATACTCCATATAATCCATACTCCATACCCTTGGACTCATACTTAAGGATGATATTTGTGTATGTTACCACCTTTTCGTATTGCTCTTAAAATACCTTCTTACTTCCAAAGTAAAAATGTCAGAATATCTATTCACAACACAAATACAGTGTTACTTTGGACTATGCAGGGAATTTCCTTTTTTTGTTAAATAAACAACCTGATTAAAGTGAAGGGCTGTTTATGAGGAGTTTTGTAAACTGTTTATGTCTGCTGGTTCCTCTTTGTAGCAGTATTTGAGCTCCTGGGTAGGAAAAAAAGTAGCTTAGGGGTAAAATGGCTTTAAAACTCTAGGAACTGAAACTACTAATGCTTGGCCCTCTGATAAGTCACTGATTTAATCTGAAAGGTTATTTCACCTCCTACTCAGCTTTACTCTTCTTTTAAACATAGCGTCGTCGTGCATAAGAACTTGTGGCAGTTGTTCTGTAAAAAGAGAAACTCTTATTTATCTGGAATCCAAGCAAGTTCAGATAATTATCCACTATTGTGTTGGTCTTATCTTTAAGAAGGAACACACAAATTACTAGAAAGAGCTGGTTGTAGAAGCAGTCTGCAGGGCATGGCACAGATTTGACAGGGTGCAGCCCCGTGCCATCTGGGACACCAGAAGACCTCTCTGGAGGTAATAGCAGGCCTGAGGGGCTGTCAACTGGGACATTACATTTCTGGAAATGAGATCATGTTAGGTGCATTACTGCAGGCAATTTTTCTGGGAATTAGTAATCTATCTAAGATGTATTACCATAGATAAACTAATTTTTAAGGACAATATTTCCAGAACGTTAATAACATGGGATACCTGGAATAGATCTATCACTACTGTTCTCTTGGTGGTGGGGATGGGAACTTGCATGACACCAAGGGCAGGTAGAGGAAATGGGGACAGCTCTTTTAGGTAAGCTCTGCAGATGCGCCCATTCCCCCTGCTTCCTTTCATCCTGGCTGGAAGATCTAAGACTGTTTTTCAAATCTCATTCGCTTTCCCTCTTAGCTCCAGTCCACATTTATAGTTGTAACTAGAAGTATTCATTAGACATGTCATTGAACTATCAAATTCCTGTGTCCAAAGAACAGCCAGAACATGGGGGAACTCTAGGAAGAAAGCCTACGTATTATATAGCAAATCAATTAAGGGGGGGAGGGGATGACTGGAAGGTAGGTAACTGGAAGTCAGTGGTGGAATCTGTAAAGGCTACAGAGGAAGTAGTATATTCTTTTAGGCAGTAAAGATGACTGCAGAGTAGAAGTTTAGTGCTGAGGGTGGACTAGAGTGAAGGGGTAGGTAAGGAATATGGTTTGCGATAAGAATGGACGCTCAAAGACATCAGAAAGTGACGGCTTAGGGAGCACTTGGGGATTCCTTTAATTTTAGGAATAATGCCATCCCAACTCCACTCCCAAATGGGTGCCACTAACTTTGTTTAGCATGAGTCCTTGAGAAGGGTAAGAAGAGGGACTAGAGAAATTCCAGATTTTATTTTAGCCGTGACTAAAATGCTGGTGAGGGTAGGGGTGGGGGTGGCCGGGGAGAGGTCAGTGGGGGAAAAGGAGACATACGTAATACTACATGTAATACTTTAAACAAGAAAAGATTTTAAATAAATAAATAAAATGCTGGTAAAGTTTGAATTAGTAAACTGAATTCTCTATCAATATTTTTGTGTCTTTGCTTTGCTTTTCACTTCTTAATAAAATTTCTTAGTAAAAAAAAATTACAGTTTTATCTCATCTGAAAGCATGATGAAAAGGAATATTCTACTTTCCATGTAGATGAGAGAATGAGGTGTTCAGTGCACACTTAGGGCCTAGGGTGGCAGGTTGTGTGGGCCCGTGGCCATCTGATGGAGCAGGATCTGGACAGAAGGGAAGGTGGGACTGTGGTACCAGCCTCAGCTAAGGCCTTGCCTTCTGGCCAGCCCTTCACAGCACTCACATGCTCATCAGAGACAATCTCTCTATTTTTCGTCAGCTCTGCATTCAGTGGGTTTTAGAGGAAGCAATGAAGGAGGGGGTAGATGGAACAGTTGGCAGAATTGGAAGGGAAAGCGGGGGTGATGCCATTGGTTTAGATGCCCTCCTGCTTTTACTAGGCAGGTGGCCTGCTTTTTTCAAAGAGAAACGAAAGCTGCCTCGCAAGAAGTGATTTGGAGAGGTGTAAACAAAGGGGTCTTAGGTATTTTTACTTTTGTGGTGTTTAAACTCTGAATTTGTATGAATGTGTCTTTTGAGTTTTTAACCACCACGTGGCCTGTGTGATTTCCAGGTGCTACTGGTGAGTAGTAGCCGCCATCCAGACCGGTGGATTGTCCCTGGAGGAGGCATGGAGCCTGAGGAGGAGCCGGGCGTGGCAGCAGTCCGGGAAGTCTGTGAGGAGGTATGCACGAGAAAGAGCACGGCGTACCCTGTGATCGTGAACCTGTATGTCTGCTAAACACACTGAGGGTCGTAGAAAGAAGGCATTTAACAGTTACCGTGTGGATTAAAGAGGAGGTCAGGCGGTGACATGGTAGTGTTTATCAGGCACCGCTCTACGCAGGAAGGGTTCTCACAGAGTCACTGTGTCTACTTATACCAGACAGCCCGGTGACTCCCGGGGTCTCTTCGGTAAGAAGATCAGGAATCAGCTGATCAGCCGGAGAACAGGCAGTCTCAGTACACACGCTCATTCTCATTAGCCTTTGGGTGGGAGGTGGCAGCCTTGTTCTCCTGTGCTCCCTGGCTCCTGGCTGTCGAGCAGTGGCTAAAGCAGCAGTTCTGTCAGCCAGAGCTGTTAACGGTGCAGCTTGAGAGAGAACAGTACCTTTTCTGTTTTATTGTAGTCAGATGATGTTCAACGTACATGCTTTGAGTTCCTGAGCCATGCCCTGCCTATCTAACTAATACTCCAGAATAAATAGTCAGAAGTAAAGTCTTAGACCCTTGCTTCTCTACTTCAAGAGCTAACAGATAGATTAGAGAAACTGAGAGATTGCAATTCAAAACCAGGAGGAAGGAACTAATGTTTCTCCATCGTCTCTTGTGGCAACACCATCTTCTGCTCTGCTTATGTTATCTCAGTTAGGTTCCTAATGGCTGGTATAAGTTTCATCACCCCCATTTACTTCCTCTCACCACATAATGTTTTAGATTATTTGCTTGTTCCACAGGGATGTAATACTGATTCCAAGAACATATAAAATAGCACTTGAAACAGGTCTCAACTCTACATTTCTTTTGCCTTAATCTGAAAGTTACTTCTCTCATCAAGTCTTTGTAATTCCACCCAGATTTGTTCTTCCTGTGTGTCTATTGCAGTCTGTACTTCTAGCATCATGGTATCTGTCATCCTTTATTGGTACTGCTTGCTTGTCTTCTGTGATAGAATTGATGCTCTATGTAGTCAAGGTACCATTCTCTCTTGCTCACTGTTGAATCCCCAGGGCTTAACACACAGCAAGTACTTAAGAAAATATAATTTTTTTTGCCCTGGCTGGTGTGTTCAGTGGTTAGAGCATTGGCCTACTCACTGAAGGGTTGTGAGTTTGATTATCAAGAGCACATACCTGAGGTGTGTGGGAGGCAAGCAATTGATGTACCCTTTCACAGTGATGTTTCTTTCTTTTTCTCTTCTCTTCTCTCCCTCTCCCTCCCTCTCTCTCTCTGTCTCTCTGTATGTCTGTCTGTCTGTCTGTCTCTCTCTCTCTCTCTCTCTCTCTCTCTCTCTCTCTCTCTCTCACACACACACACACACACACACACACACACAAAACCAATGGAAAAAATATCCTCACTCCTTGGGTGAGGATTAAAAAAAGAAAGAAAATATAATTTTTGTATTTTACAGTTATTACATTTATTACTATTATTGAAATGACAACTGGAGCAGCCACATAAATGCACTTTCAGGTGGTTAGGAGTAAATGTATCTACTGGTCCTTCAGTTAAATGAGGAAGAAAGTAACAGTGTTGCAGCACCCACCCAGCCAGGTTGTGCAGAAATGAAAGCATGGGCTACCGTGCACAGGCAGGGCTCGCTCATGGTGGGCAGATGACAGTGGGAATGTCTGTAGCTCAGGCAGCCTCATCACCACACCTGCACCCACACCCGTGGCCCAGTCCCTCCCTTCCAGTGTGAAGGATCTGCCGCCTTCACCTCTTCTCAGTCTCCTGGCTCCTGCTTGCACCTTTTTACTTTGTATTTTTCCTCCCTGTGTGCATCTCACTTTCAGTCTTCCCAAGGAAGGATCTGATTGGTGTTGCCTAGTTACGACTGTTGATCAGAGCTGCCAGGCCATCTCATCAGCTCCTGCCATTTTGAAGATGTCTGCCATACCTTTGCCCATTGCTTATTTCTTACTAGAAGCCTGGTGCATGAATTCATGCATGGATGGGGTCCTGGCCGGCTGGGGCGGGGAGGTGTGAGCGTTGGCTCGCCGGTCCTGTTCCCTGATCGAACCCCTGATCGAAGGGACAATTTGCATTTAAGCCTTTTATTATATAGGACTAGATGCCCCCTGCAGGAAGATTCCTGCAATAGGGCTTCCTGCTGTGGTCTCCACTGCTCCACCGGTTTCTCCCTTCTGCCCGCCCCGCCTGCTTCCCTACCCTCTCTGCCACCCTGCTTGCTTGCTTCTCTGCAGCTTCGCTCCCTTCTGCAGCACTTGGCTTCTTTCTACCTTGCTTTGGACTTGGTATGCAAATTAACCGCCATCTTGGTTGGGTTAATTTGCATGCTCACCCTGATTGGCTCGCCCTGATTGGGCGTGCCTTGTGGGTGTAGTGAAGGTACGATCAATTTGCATGTTTCTCTTTTATTAGAGAGGATTCCTCTAGCTGTGCTGAGAGTGGCAAGTTCATGTGCTCTACAAGCATAACAACCTGTGCTTAGGTACTGTCTAGGGCAGCTTTCCTGAGGGCCCGTATATGTAGTGAAAGATATTTACTAACACAGGAAAATGTTTGTAACCCGTTCCTAAATGACCAAAGCAGGCTACAAACAGCATTTATGACATGAGACCATAAAATGGGAAAGAAATGTGTATATAAGCAAAACCAGTTTGGCTCAGTGGTAGAGCGTCAGTCTGTGGACTGAAAGGTCCCAGGTTCTATTCTGGTCAGGGGCATGTACGTTGGTTGCGGGCACATCACCAGTAGGGGGTGTGCAAGAGGCAGCTGGTCCATGTTTCTCTCTCATCGACGTTTCTAGCTCTCTGTCTCTCTCCCTTCCTCTCTGTAAAAATCAATTAAAAAAATGTGTATATAACCATTTGTGTAGAAAGAATAGAAACCCTGCTTATACACTTACTATATGATAAGCTCTGTCCTTAGCATTTTGCATATATTGCCTCACTAAGTGCTTACCGGGCCCTATGAGGTAGGAACTGTTTTTATTTACACTTTACAGATGAGGGAAAACTGAGGGTCAGTGAGATTAATAGTTGTCCACACAAATTGTGCCCAGCTATGTGTGTTCAAGCGCTTCCGGTAAGATCTGCATCTAGAGCAGTCGTTGGCAAACTGCGGCTCTTTGGCCCCTTGAGTATTCTAACGCCACTTCTTCAAAATAGACTCGCCCAGGCCGAAAACCGACTTCTGCGCATGGGCCACGAAGTTTCAGTCGCACTGTACGTGCGCGCCCGCTTGTGGTATTTTGTGGAAGAGCCACACTCAAGGGACCAAAGAGTCGCATGTGGCTTGTGAGCCGCTGTTTGCCGACCACTGATCTAGTATCTCATCCGTACCCACACTCCTAACGCTGTGCTCCTGAAAGAATGTTCACCCACATGTTCACAGTGGTTATCTTTGGGTTAGTTCATAGGTTATCAAGTTTTTCTGCATTGAACATATATTTATTCTGTTACTAGAAAAGTTCTCTGTATGAACAGGAGTGGACTGCGACTATTAAGTAGTTTATCTTCGCATTGTCAGGGCCTCAGTACCATTAAACTCAACCTGTTCTAAGCTTCGTTCACCCAGCTGAAGTTTCAGCAAAGTGGCTGAACTTCTGAAACAGGTAAATCTGCAGAACTTGAAACATTAGCAATCACATCAAAGACCTAAAATGTTCCCTTTTATAAACTGGCCTCCACTTACTCAGTTGCTTATTGCCAAAACCTAGTACTATAGTGACCCTCAAGGATTAGAGGGGCCAAAACCGGTTTGGCTCAGTGGTAGAGCATCGGTCTGCGGACTGAAGGGTCCCAGGTTCGATTCCAGTCAAGGGCATGTACCTTGGTTGCAGGCACATCCCTGGTAGGGGGCGTGCAAGAGGCAGCTGGTTGATGTTTCTCTCTTATCGATGTTTCTAGCTCTCTCTCTCTCTCCTTTCCTCTCTGTAAGAAATCAATGAAATATATTTGGGGGGGGGAAAGGGTTAGAGGGGAAGGCTTCTCCCAGGGCCAGGCCGGGGCAGCAGAGGTTGCAGGAGCCGCCCTGTGGCACTCTCTCTGTAACGAAAAAGAAAATCACCTCTTTGTGTGGTTTTCAGAGCTATTCTTTCTTGCTGATTCCGTGCGAAAGGTAAAACTGTTGGCTGGCAGGGTAAAAAGAGAGAGGCTGGGTCTGCAGCTGTTCTGCCTTCTGTTCATGTCATATTTTCATTTCTTTTACCCAGTCTCACCTCAGCCAAACCAAGAGCATTATTACAAAAATATAGGACGTCTGAAAACGGAAACAGAAGGAGAGAATTATGTGCATACCTCCAACTGCATTCTCCTCAAGGATGCCATTTCCTTTTGCCTGCTGCTTCATGTCTGGGCAAGACCATATCCACAGAACCGTTGCTAGAATATAAATTAGAAGGGACTTGTAGGCAGCCTGATAACCTGTGACATAGGCCTGTTCTCTGACTTCCTCACTTGTGTCCTAATACCGTTTCCCCGAAAGTAAGACAGTGTCTTATATTAATTTTTTCTCCCACAGTTGCGCTAGTCTTATTTTCAGGGGATGTCTTATCTTTCCATGTGCTAGGTCTTATTTTTGGAGGATGTCTTATTTTCGGGGAAACACGGTATCACACTTCTCTGCTACAGTGCTGGCTCTTACCACTTGCTCCTCTGCCATGTAAATACACCATCTTAGAAATTTCTCAGTGTAGTGATGTGTCCTTAGATTTCCCTGCACTTTGATCCTCTCCCTCAAGTTGTTGATACGCTGTCTTGCATAAAGTAAAAATATTACAGCATGTTTGACCTAATTCACCTTCATTTAAGGAAGTTTTTGAACTTCTGGATGCCTCAAGAGTTCAGAGCTGCTTCATAATTTTCTCTAATTTTACTAATCTTATGTCAGCCTGTCAAGAATTTATTGTAACTCTTCTTTTTTTAGTTAATCCTCACCTGAGGGTATTTTTCCATTGGTTTTTAGAGTGGAAGGGGGCGGGGGGGAGAAACATTG